CCAACTGTGGACTTAAGCTGCACATGAGATTCACGAGCTCACCAGTCAGCTCCCTTTATGTATGATGATAACAATCCTAATTTTCTGCAGGGTATGCTTATGAGAGTCACAATAGCACCTGTGTTCTAATTTGTATTATGACACTCTCCGACCACCCAAGGACTTCATAATGTACGTGTGTTTATCATAGCCTTCTGTAACCTTTCTAAAAATAGGAGACTCAGAATTCTACCTTCTGCCCTAAACCTACCTATGAGAGTCAAAATCTCTCCAACTGGGTGGCTTCACATCTGAGAGACATTATCATGTCTGTGTGCTGGGCCTAGGTATAGGTTACAATTCTACTTGTGCGTGGAAAGAGACAAGAGGGTCGCATTACCTGGGTGTGGGGCTAGAGGTTTTTCACAAACCTTGATGTTGGCAGGTCTCCCAAATATGTTACATCACCTGGATGTTAGGCTCAGTGATACACCAGAATGACCAGTGTAGGCAGGACACAGGCAGGAGAATCACATTACCTGGGTGCTGGGCCCAGTATTATTTCAAAGTTTTTTATGGAAGCAGGGAACAGCCAGCCAAAAAGAGTCACACTATCTAGGTGCTGGGATCAGTAATGTCACATCTTTTTCTGTTAACAGGAACCAGTCAATAGAGGGGAGTCGTATCCCAAAATAGTGGGCCCAGTGATATGTCAAAGTCCCCAGGGCATAGGCAAGAAAGTGAGTCACATCACTTAGGTTGATGGGCCAAGAGACGTGTCACAAAATCCACTGAGGGAAATGCCTAGGCAGGAGGTTCACATCACCCAGGGTGTTGGCCCTGGTATATGTCAGAAGCTTAACTCCCAGTTGATGGCTAGGTTTCCACAAAAGAGTAAAGTCAATTAGATGCTTGGCAAAGGTACATTGTACTATTACACCTGCAGAAAGGTCTAGGAATGAGATTCACAATCCCGCAAATTTCCAGGCTTCAGATATGAGAGTCAACGACTTTTGTGAGTTGTGCCCAAGTATGTAAGACAGAATCTCAGTGGTGGAGTTGATCCAGCCTCAACTTCAACTGGAAACAGTGTCCCAGTGGGTAGCCATATTCTCACAGTTGTGCTGAATCTTGGTTTGAAAGTCACTATTCTACCTGTGGATCAGATCAACATATGAGAATCACAATTCCACCTTTCAACTTCCTTCAGATGTGACATTGAGAACCTCAGCAGTGGGCCTTGTCAGAGGGTGACAATTCTTTCTGTTTCCTGAGTGTACATACAAGGGTAACAACCTCACCTGTGTGGTAGGCCACGTTAATACATTCTCTGAACCACAGACAGTTTGATAAGGCATGTTTCAGAGTTTCAATCTGCTCTGAGATTTTTGTGGCGGTATAATCCCATGATACTACCCATTGCCTTAAGTGCAGGCATGAGAGTCAGTATTTCCTTTTTGACTCGTCCAGGTATGAGAGTCATTATCATGATTGTGAGCTGAGTTCAGAAATCTTATTTGTCACCATCTTATTTGTGGCTGGATGCACATATGGCAGGCATAATTCCAGCTGTAGACTGCATCTACAGATAAGATTCAGGATCTGAACAGTGGTCTCTGTCCATGTGTGAGGGTGACAATCCTGTCAGCTGGGTGTACGTAGGAGTGTTAACATTCTTATCCTGTGTTGGGTCCTGTTATGACACCCTCTGTACAACCCAAGTGCTTTATATAACATCTTTGAGTGTCATAATTTTCTGTGAACTTTGTATAAGTAGAAGACCTTGGATGAGTAAAAATCTGTCGCAATGTCTTGGTCCAGGTATAAGAGTCATTACCAGGCCGGGCGCGGTGGCTCAAGCCTGTAATCCCAGCACTTTGGGAGGCCGAGGCGGGTGGATCACGAGGTCAAGAGATCGAGACCATCCTGGTCAACATGGTGAAACCCCGTCTCTACTAAAAATACAAAACATTAGCTGGGCATGGTGGTGCGTGCCTGTAATCCCAGCTACTCAGGAGGTTGAGGCAGGAGAATTGCCTGAACCCAGGAGGCGGAGATTGTGGTGAGCCAAGATCGCGCCATTGCACTCCAGCCTGGGTAACAAGAGTGAAACTCCATCTCAAAATAATAATAATAATAATAATAATAATAATGAAAAAAATAGCTGGGCATGGTGGCATGGGACTGTAGTCCCAGCTACTTGGGGAGGCTGAGGTCATTTCTGCTGGTATGACAGTCTCTCAGTGTGTAGTGAACCTTGCAGCAGCCTCTGTTTAAGACCTGTGGTCCCTCTGCAAAAGCAACAGCTCAAGCCTGCGCAAACCTTTTCATTTTATACTTTCCTTGTATACTTCCACACAACCATACAGAAAGAGATCTGAATGACTGTTTCTGCCGCTGCAACTACTGCTCCTATTACTAAAAAGCTCTATGTTCTCTTATGTATTTTACCACCTAATGACACCTTCACAGGGTCTTATGCCCGACATATAATTACTGATTCTAGTTGGTATGGATTTTTGTGTATTGTCCATTTCAATATATTTAAGATTTTATTTTGTAACGTCTTGGTTTACGAACATTAAAATAAAATCCAAAAGTGTCCATATGCATGAAAAGGGTATTCTAGGTTGCAAACATAGCAATAAATTGCAGGCCTCATAAAATTAGAGCTCAAGTAAGAATACCACTTCCATTTATGGAAGCATGTAGAAACTCCAGTTTCCTTTCCTGTCATTAAATTCAGGTCATGGGTCTGCCAATTGCTTCTTCCATTTCAATGAATTTTATGTTGTCTACATATTCTTTTGTCCTCCATCCCAAAAGGGTAAAATGTTTTCTCTTGAAAACACTGACATATTCTATTATGTATTTTATTTTATTTGTGATAGAGACATTTAACGTAGGATCTACTCTCTTAGCAAAGTTTTAAGTACACAATTCAGTACCGTTAACTATAGGAACTATTCTGTGCCTCTAGATCTCTAGGACATATTCATGTTGCATAATTAAAATCTTGTACCCTTTGACTAATACCTCCCTCTTTTCCCCTCCCCGAGTCCCTGGCAAGCACCACTGTACTCTCTGCCTCTATAGATTTGACTATTCTAGAGTCCTCATAAAAGAGGATCACATAGGATTGTCTGTCTGTGAATGTCTTATTTCACTTAGCATAGTGCTCTCCAGGTTTATCCATGTTGTTGCAATGCATTTCCTTCTTTTTCTGAGACTAGATAATATTCCATTGTATGTATACACCATATTTTCTTTACCCATTCACCCATCTATGGATATTAAGTTGCTTCCATGTCTTCACTATTGTAAATAACGCTGTAATAAACATGAACATGCTGACATCTCTTTGAGATCCTGATTTTAGATCCTCTGGCTATATACCCAGAAGGTGAGATTGCTCTACATTGTTCTTTACAGTGACTGCACCAACTTACATTTCCACCAACAGGGTTTCAGTTTTGCTACATCCTCACCAGTCCTTGTTATCGATTTTTTGATATATTAGTCAATCTAACAGATGTGAGGTGACATCTAATTGTTGTTTTGATTTGGATTTTCCAGATGATTAATGTTGAGTAACTTGTCATGTACTTCATGGCCGTTTGTATGACTTCTTTTGAAGAAATGTCTTTTCAAGTCCTTTGCTCACTTTTTAGTTGGATTTTTTTGTTTTTCTTTTGAGTTGTGGGAGTTGCTTATATATTTTGGATATTAACACCTCATCAGATAAATGGTTTACAAGTATTTTTGCCCATTATGTAGGTTGCCTTCTTTGCTGTACAGAAGTTGTTCAGTTTGATATTATCCCACTTGTCTATTTTTGTTTTTCGTGCCTGTACTTTTGATATCATATTCAATAAATCATTGCTAAGGCCAATGTTAAGAAGATTTCCCCCTATGTACTCTTCTAAGAGTTTTATCATTTCATGTTTTACACGTAAGCCTTTAATCCATTTGAGTTGACTTTTTGTATTATGTGAAAAAAGGTCCAATTTTATTCTTTTGCATGTTAATATTCAGTTTTCCAAGTAGCATTTATTGAAGTGACTACCTTTTCCCCATTTAATACTCTTGGCATCCTTGTTGAAAATTAATTGACTCATTACTTCATTTATCAATAAAATGTACTCCCTTATTTTCCATTAGCCAATCATATTTGTTTTCATCATTAAAAACCTTTTTTCTCTAACTTCTTCAAAGTAATTCCTACATGATTCCAGGACTATAGCATATCTGTTAACACATATGTACACTCAGGTTTAGCTACAACTGATCTTTACTTAAAAATGTTGTTCATGGTTTTATTAGGTTTTAAGGGTTACTGTCCATAAATAAACCTTAATAAGCTAAGGATCTACTTCCTTTACTATTCTCCATAATACACTGGCCTGCTATCACCTGTTAACGTCTTACATGAAGAACAAACATCACTTAACTCACATTGCAGTGTTGGACTTCTGTGTATAAGCCTTCAAATTAGCACATTCCTATGCTTGAGAAAAATCAATCCAGGATGATAATACCATAAGTACGTATTAACCCTAACTAACACATGTGAGTAGATTAAATGATATTAAAACACTTTGATAAATAAGAATTGATACTTAAGACTGAGTGTGGTGGCTCACACCTTTAATCTCAGCACTTCGGTAGGCTGAGGCAGGCCGATTACCAGAGGTCGGGAGTTCAAGACCAGCCTGACCAACATGGAGAAACCTCATCTCTACTCAAAATACAAAATTAACTGGGAGTGGTGGTGCATGACTGTAATCCCAGCTTCTCCGGAGGCCGAGGGAGGAGAATCGCCTGAACCTGGGAGGTGGAGGTTGCGGTGAGCCGATACCACACCATTGCACTCCAGCCTGGGCAACAAGGGCAAAACTCCATCTCAAACGAAAAAGCAATTTAAATTTAAATAGTAACTTAAAATATGGGTTACTATTATTGGTAATAGAAAAACTATAAGGGGCTTACTGAATTAGGTTTATTTAAAAGATGTTTTGAAAATGGTTTACAGCGGAGGTAAAGTTCGGGAGAGAGGGAGAGAAATGCGTCAGCGCGAGGGAGCCGAGTGGCCGCCATTGCTGAGCCCGGCAGCGGCGGGCTCTGGGGAAGGGGGAGGGACGGGGCCGCCGCCGGTGGCGGGGAGGGAGGGACAGGGTGAGCAGGCTGCTGGGGCCGTGGGGCTCAGGGTTTCGGGGCGTGTGTGTCGGGGAGGGCGGGGAGAGGTGGCTGAAGGGACGCGCCGCTCGGTGAGCGCGCCGTGGAAGAGAGGCGAGCCGAGAGTGGAGGAGGAGGTGGCGGCGGCGGGAGCGCTCCCCAGGAATGTCCCTGCCGCCGCCACCGCCGGGGCAGCTGCCGTTGAGGAGGAGACGGAGGAGACAGACGTTGTTAGGAAGATGATCCCTATGATCTTGAAGATGTTTCTGCACAGAAATGAGGGAAATACAAAGAACCAAATACAGTTCTGAAATTTGGAATCTGTATTTTGAGATGATTTTGTTTTCAGCATGAGAAGCGTATCTAGTCACCTTTATGAATGTAGAGACATGAGAAGAGAGTTATGATGACAAAAACAAAGAGCCTCGTCCCCCATCCTACACTATCAGTGTAGTTGGACTCTCTGGGACTGAAAAAGACAACGGTAACTGTGGTGTTGGAAAGTCTTGTTTGTGCAATAGATTTGTACGCTCAAAAGCAGATTAATATTATCCAGAGCATACTTCTGTGCTTAACACCATTGACTTTGGAGGACGAGTAGTAAACAATGATCACTTTTTGTACTGGGGTGACATAACACAAAATGGTGAAGATGGAGTAGAATGCAAAATTCATGTCATTGAACAAACAGAGTTCATTGATGACCAGACTTTCTTGCCTCATCGGAGTACGAATTTGCAACCATATATAAAACGTGCAGCTGCATCTAAATTGCAGTCAGCAGAAAAACTAATGTACATTTGCACTGATCACTTAGGTTTACAACAAGGCTTTGAACAGAAGCAGATGTCTGAAGGGAAGCTCAATGTAGACGGATTTTTTTTTTTTTTAGTTAGAAACAGGGTTTTATTTGTGAAAACAGAAAAATCAAACAATATTTTAAAAATCCAGTCTACTGATGTCATCATATTTGGCTTGGAATACCTAAGAACGCAGTAACTGAAGTGTCTGTTCTAAAAACATAAACATTTTTTGATATCAGTACCAACCCACTTTAATGTATATGTAAATAAGAGAACTTTGCTTGAAAAATACAAATATACATATTCAAGAGCACTACCAAATTTTGAAGCTAATGTATTCATTGCCAGCATATTATACATAACTAAAAGTCATTTTAAATGTTTTCTAAACAGGGACTGATGTGGATATCAACAATGGTTTCATCCTAAAACTGAGTTTTAGTATCTGTTTAGTATAGTTTATCTATTTAGTTAAAGCACATTACAACAATTTTTTACTGTTCCTTGTGGCTAGTTTATTTTCATTTTTTTAGAGTTGGAATCTTGCTACGTTGTCCACGGTGGATTCAAAATCCTGGACTCAAGAGATCCTCCTGCCTCAGCCTCTTGAGCAGCTGGGACTACAGGAATGTACTGTCACACTCCACAGCTGATGTTGTAATAAAGTACCACTGAGTATCAGACTGAAAACATCCCAGAACTTTAGACCAGGTAAAGGGAGCCAATGAGATAATGAAAAGTGACATCAGATGAAAGTTGTGAATCTGTGAAAGTTTCAAACCAGTTTTTTCAAGTAGTCTACAGATGATTTGATAGGGTAAGACCAGTTCTTTACACAACATAGCAGCCATTATGTTTGAGTACTAATATTTCTTTTCCCGTTGATATTTGTGAAATTTTCTGTTCTGTTACTTTTTATGGATTCTAACAAGACTTTGATTTTTTCATTTGTAGGCTTTCTGCTTTTCTTCTTGCCAAGGGATTTTCTGTTTGCTCCAGATGTAGCAGCAGGGCTACCAGGCCCCAGGGCTGATTGCCTGATATGGAAGGTCCATCTAGATCTTCCTGTTGTAAAATGTAGATGGATTTTTATTATGCATTGAGGTAAGTCAGGGATGCAATAGGAAGTTTGATGAACAACTTAAGTTTGTGAATAACCTTTTTGTCCAGTTATCAAAATCAAAAAAACCTGTGATAATAGCGGCAACTAAATGTGATGAATGTGTGGATCATTATCTTAGAGAAGTTCAGGCATTTGCTTCAAACAAAAAGAATCTTCTTGTAGTGGAAACATCAGCACTATTTAATGTCAACACTGAAACATGTTTCACTGCACTGGTACAAATGTTGGATAAAACTCGTAGCAAGCCTAAAGTGATTCCCTATTTGGATGCTTATGAAACACAGAGACAACTTGTTGTCACAGCAACAGATAAGTTTGAAAAACTTGTACAGACTGTGAGAGATTATCATGCAACTTGGAAAACTGTTAGTAATAAATTAAAAAATCATTCTGATTATGAAGAATGCATCAACTTAGAGGGAACAAGAAAGGCCAGAAATACATTCTCTAAACATATAGAACAACTTAAACAGGAACACATGAGAAAATGGAGAGAAGAGTATATAAATACTTTACCAAGAGCTTTTAACACTCTTTTGCCAAATCTAGAAGAGATTGAACATTTGAATTGGTCAGAAGCTTTGAAGTTAATGGAAAAGACAGCAGATTTCCAGTTAATGTTTTGTGGTGCTAGAAAAAACACCTTGGGATGAAACCGACCATATAGACAAAATTAATGATAGGCGGATTCCATTTGACCTCCTGAGCACTTTAGAAGCTGAAAAAGTCTATCAGAACCATGTACAACATCTAATATCTGAGAAGAGGAGCGTAGAAATGAAGGAAAAATTCAAAAAGACTTTGGAAAAAATTCAGTTCATTTCACCTGGGCAGCCATGGAAGGAAGTTACGTGCTTTGTTATGGAGGATGAAGCCTTCAAATATATCACTGAAGCTGATAGCAAAGAGGTATATGGTAGGCATCAGCGAGAAATAGTTGAAAAAGCCAAAGAAGACTTTCAAGAAATGCTTTTTGAGCATTCCAAACTTTTTTATGATTTAGATCTTAATGCAACACCTAGTTCAGATAAAATGAGTGAAATACATACAGTTCTGAGTGAAGAACCTAGATATAAAGCTTTACAGAAACTTGCACCTGATAGAGAATCTCTTCTTCTTAAGCATATAGGATTTGTTTATCATCCCACTAAAGAAACATGTCTTAGTGGCCAAAATTGTACTGACATTAAAGTGGAGCAGTTACTTGCTAGTAGTCTTTTACAGTTGGATCGTGGCCGCTTAAGATTATATCATGATAGTACCAATATAGATAAAGTTAACCTTTTCATTTTAGGGAAGGATGGCCTTGCCCAAGAACTAGCAAATGAGATAAGGACACAATCCACTGATGACGAGTATGCCTTAGATGGAAAAATTTATGAACTTGATCTTCGGCCGGTTGATGCCAAATCACCTTACTTTTTGAGTCAATTATGGACTGCCGCCTTTAAACCACATGGGTGCTTTTGTGTATTTAATTCCATTGAGTCATTGAGTTTTATTGGGGAATTTATTGGGAAAATAAGAACGGAAGCTTCTCAGATCAGAAAAGATAAATACATAGCTAATCTTCCATTTACATTAATTCTGCCTAATCAGAGAGATTCCATTAGTAAGAATCTACCAATTCTCAGGCACCAAGGGCAGCAGCTGGCAAACAAGTTACAATGTCCTTTTGTAGATGTACCTACTGGTACATATCCTCGTAAATTTAATGAAACTCAAATAAAGCAAGCTCTAAGAGGAGTACTGGAATCAGTTAAACACAATTTGGATGTGGTGAGCCCAGTTCCTGCCAATAAGGACATATCAGAAGCTGACTTGAGAATTGTCATGTGTGCCATGTGTGGAGATCCATTTAGTGTGGATCTTATTCTTTCACCCTTCCTTGATTCTCATTCTTGCAGTGCTGCTCAAGCTGGACAGAATAATCCCCTAATGTTTGATAAAATCATTGGTCAAAAAAGGAGACAAAGGGGCCGGGCGTGGTGGCTCAAGCCTGTAATCCCAGCACTTTGGGAGGCCAAGGCGGGTGGATCACGAGGTCAAGAGATCGAGACCATCCTGGTCAACATGGTGAAACCCCGTCTCTACTAAAACTACAAAAAATTAGCTGGGCATGGTGGCACGTGCCTGTAATCCCAGCTACTCAGGAGGCTGAGGCAGGAGAATTGCCTGAACCCGGGAGGCGGAGGTTGCGGTGAGCCGAGATCGCGCCATTGCACTCCAGCCTGGGTAACAAGAGCGAAACTCCGTCTCAAAAAAAGAAAAAAAAAAAAAAAAAAAGGAGACAAATATAGATAACAATATTATCATACCACTCTTCAATTGGAGTAAGAAAAGATGAACTAGTTCATGGGTATATATTAGTTTACTCTGCAAAATGGAAAGCATCACTGGGAATGCTTCGAGCATTTCCATCGGAAGTTCAAGACACCATTCCTGTACAGCTGGTGGCAGTTACTGACAGCCAAGCAGATTTTTTTGAAAATGAGGCTATCAAAGAGTTAATGACCGAAGGAGAACACATTGCCACTGAGATCACTGCTAAATTTACAGCATTGTATTCTTTATCTCAGTATCATAGGCAAGCTGAGGTCTTTACTCTGTTTTTTAATGATGTTCTAGAGAAAAAAAAGTGATAGAAAATTCTTACTTGTCTGATAACACAAGGGATTCAACCCATCAAAGTGAAGATGTTTTTCTACCATCTCCCAGAGATTGTTTTCCCTATAACAACTACCCTGATTCATTCAGATGATGACACAGAAGCACCACCTCCTTATAGTCCAATTGGGGATGATGTACAGTTGCTTCCAATGTCTAGTGACTGTTCCAGATATAAATTAGATTTGGAAGGAAATGAATATCCTATTTATAGTACCCCAAACTGTCATGACCATGAATGCAACCATAAAGTGCCTCCACCTATTAAACCTAAACCAGTTGTACCTAAGACAAATGTGAAAAAACTGGATCCAAACCTTTTAAAAACAATTGAAGCTGGTATTGGTAAAAACCCAAGAAAGCAGACTTCCCGGGTGCCTTTGGCACATCCTAGAGATATGGATCCTTCAGATAACTTTGCGGAACTCATTGATACAATTTTCAAACAGAAGGGCTATTCTGATGAGATTTATGTTGTCCCAGATGATAGTCAAAATCGTATTAAAATTTAAAACTCATTTGTAAATAACACTCAAGGAGATGAAGAAAATAGATTTTCTGATAGAACCTCAAAAAGTCATGGGGAACGGAGGCCTTCAAAATACAAATATAAATCTAAAACCTTATTTAATAAAGCCAAGTCATACTATAGAAGAACACATTCAGATGCAAGTGATGATGAGGCTTTCACCACTTCTAAAACAAAAAGAAAAGGGAGACATTGTGGAAATGAAGAAGATCCACTTCTTTCTCCTGTTGAAACTTGGAAAGGTGGCATTTATAATCCTGCAATCACTTCTGACCAGGAGTTAGATGATAAGAAGATAAAGAAGAAAACCAAGAACTTCAATCCACCAAAACGTAGAAATTGGGAAAGTAATTACTTTGGGATGCCCCTCCAGGATCTGGTTACAGCTGAGAAGCCTGTACCACTACTTGTTGAGAAATGCGTGGAATTTATTGAAGATACAGGGTTATGTACCGAAGGACTCTACCATGTTAGCGGGAACAAAACTGACTAAGACAATATTCAAAAGCCGTTTGATCAGGATCATAATATCAATCTGTTGTCAATGGAAGTAACAGTAAATGCTGTAGCTGGAGCTCTTAAAGCTTTCTTTGCAGATCTGCCAGATCCTTTAATTCCATATTCTTTTCATCCAGAGCTATTGGAAGCAGCAAAAATCCTGGATAAAACAGAACATCTTCATGCCTTGAAAGAAATTGTTATGAAATTTCATCCTGTAAACTATGATGTATTCAGATACGTGATAACACATCTAAACAGGGTTAGTCCGCAAAATAAAATCAACCTAATGACAGCAGACAACTTATCCATCTGTTTTTGGCCAACCTTGATGAGACCTGATTTTGAAAATAGAGAGTTTCTGTCTACTACTAAGATTCATCAGTCTGTTGTTGAAACATTCATTCAACAGTGTCAGTTTTTCTTTTACAGTGGAGAAACTGTAGAAACAACCAACATTGTGGCTCCACCACCACCTTCGAATCCAGGACAGTTGGTGGAACCAGTGGTACCACTTCAGTTGCCGCCACCATTGCAACCTCAACTGATACAACCACAATTACAAACGGATCCTCTTGGTATTATATGAGTAGGAATTGATTGCAAACAGGCTGGATTTGGACAAAACGCAAATCTAGACATGCATGTTTCAGGGTTCAAGTAATATACTTTATGTTTCATACAGATAATTCATATTCAAAATGATGACATTTTCTCTTTGAACTAGATGGTATTCCTTATTCACTTACATTACAAATCTAAGAACATGTGATATGCATGACTGGAGAGGTTTAATTTTTATAAACAAAAATAGCTATAAAATACAAAGCTGCTGCTGCATGCAACCTTATTGCAATCAGTATATCATTCCTGTGGCAATTTCTGTCACATTATGTTGTGAATAAAATTTTTCTATAGAAATTTAAAAAAATGGTTTACGGGCCAGGCGCGGTGGCTCAAGCCTGTAATCCCAGCACTTTGGGAGGCCGAGGCGGGTGGATCACGAGGTCAAGAGATCGAGACCATCCTGGTCAACATGGTGAAACCCCGTCTCTACTAAAAATACAAAACATTAGCTGGGCATGGTGGCGCGTGCCTGTAATCCCAGCTACTCAGGAGGCTGAGGCAGGAGAATTGCCTGAACCCAGGAGGCAGAGGTTGCGGTGAGCCGAGATCGCGCCATTGTACTCCAGCCTGGGTAACAAGAGCAAAAACCCGTCCCAATAACAAAAAAAAAAAAAAAAAAAAAATGGTTTACAGCAAAATGCATATGAATTTGATAGTACAATAAAAATAAAAGACAATAAGCACATTTTCTAAAATGTTATTGTTTCTCAAAAGCTATTTCAGTGAATAGATTTATATTTCTTTTACCAGAGTTCAGACAAATTCCAACCACTAGTATTGGACTGTAGGCCTTTTATTTCTTTTATGCACCAAAGTGAAATACCCTAGCATGGCTATAATGAATACATTTTAAACAATTCTGCTAACTCCATTTTGCCCACCCTAAGCTATGTAGGGCATTCTGTTCCGAAAGCTTGTGGTCTGAGACAGCTGACATCTTTGTAACCAATTTTCTGAGAAACAGGGCCCACCTGCCCTGTACATCCTGTATCTGCAATTGTGTAACTGCTACCCCATGCTGCTGCCTCACATCCTGAGTAAAAAAACAACTTTAAGTAGAACTTTTTTGTTAGGCATCCCCACTTCCCCTAACCTGATCCTTCTGCTTCTGTAATAATCTGCTTACCACCCCCTGACCCTAAACTGGTATAAAAATGTCGACTGCCCTTTGTTCTTGGTCGACAGGATTGAGCTCTAGCTGACTCTCGGACTCCGGCATAAAGGTGGACTCTCAACAAACTCAGCGCGTGGCGCTTCTGTTTAAACTTGCTCGAGTATAACAAAAGGGAGTAAATCAAATATAAAATATGACCAAAGATAATTTTTTAAAAAAGAAAACATCTTTTGGCAAGAATTTAACCTGGAGTTTTCTTTTTTCTTTTTTTTTTTTTTTTTTT